ACTACCATTAGATTCGTCTCGATGAGCTCTACAACTTTAATTAGAGACTCAAAGATGATTAACTTAGTACGAAAAAAGTTTTCTTTGGACAATCACTAGAAAATTTCTACTTTCGCACCTATAGTAATTTATATGAACCGCATCACGTTATAGTGTTTATTAGTACCACGTAATAACGTGCCATTTATTAGTACTAATTATTACCACGTAATAACGTGCTCTTTATAGTTTAATTAGTACCACGTATTACTGTGTTATTTGTTAGTACTAATTATTACCACGCAATAATATGCTATTTATTAGTACTAATTATTACCACGTAATAACGTGCTCCTTATAGTGTTAATTAGTATCATGTAATAACGTGCTATTTATTAGTATTAATTATTACCATGTAATAATATGCTTTTTATTAGTACTAAATATTACTACGTAATAATGTGCTTCTTATAGTGTTAATCAGTACCACGTAATAATATTCACTTTATTAGTACTAATTATTACCAGTAATAACGTACTATTTATTAGTGTCAAATATTATCACGTTATAACGTGCTCCTTATAGTGTTAATTATTACTACGTCATAACGTGCTATATGGTTGTTCCGAAAGCAATGTCGACAGGCTATTTTTCAAGACAAAATTTTTCCGCATTAACTTCCCATGTTCTGTATCAATCATGTTGCTTCTGCTCAATCTGATCTTAAACCAAACTAAATAATTAATTTAACTGAAATTCTGGATAGTTAAATATGATGTTAATACGTATATTAATTATTAATACGTTATTAAGTGTTTGACCTTTTTGAATTAAAGACAACTCATGATTGTAACAGCTAAACAATTACTATTTATTTATTGATTTATTGATTTATTCGACATCTATACATAAATTCTATGATGTTAAAATCAAAATTGAATACAAGTAAAATTTGTAATTTTAATTCTCATCATCAACAGGGTACGTAGTCATTCCGTAATCAGCGCTTTGATTCATAATTTCTTGCGCATCATTATAATTGCATTTAGGTCCATAATCTTCTATTATCAGTTGAATTGCAGTTTCGGGGACCAAAACATCAAAAAGAAATTTGTTTGGAGTTTGTGGTTTACAAATTATATTTATAATATTTATAAACATATTTTGCAACGTTTCAGATATAATTAACAAGCCTTTTGCACCATAATATCCGGGCTATGATGATAATAATTAAAGTGAATATATATATAATTTTAACACTAAAGTAACCAAAAATAAATTGATATATACAATTATTTTTTCAAATATATTAAAGTGTTGCATAGAAGTATGAGATTTTGATAAACCAACAACTTTAATTGTATCTTCTGCAAGTTTACGATAGTAACCCAAGTCTTCATTATTAACAATTTTAAGGAGAACATCTTTGAGTCCCCGTATTCTAGTAGGTAGTTCATTAAAATCAATGGTGGGATATCTTTTGGTAACATCAACTAAAGTTAAATATAATGTAGAAATTAAATAAAGTATTAATATCAAATCGATCCCTTTTATTTTTTATTGATAAAAATTATTCATATGCGCAAATTTGAAAACAGGTACAAGAATTATAGGTTTGAGTTGAGCAAAATGAATTATCATCAAATTTCCGCCTTAAAAATTTAGAAAACTTTCTCCAAGTAAATATTAGAATTCAAAGAAATAATTCACACATCATCAATACCTTCATCATAATCTTAGTCAAGAATAATTTCTATGCAAAAAAAATTTATTTGATTTATTATAATTAATCTTTTGAAATATTCCAATTCATCATTAACTAGAAAATTTACCTTCATTGTCATCAAATTCTTCGCTATTATCTTCGCTTCCAGTTTCATTATGTTCTGTAGAAACGGGACCTATACATAAATTTTTACTTTATTCATCGAATTTATCCTTTAAAATAATCATTAAAATTAGAAAACATACCATTATTACGAATTAAATCGGCGAATACATCGTCGTTGCCTATGAAAATTAAAATAAATTAAAACTCATTATTAATATTATTGCATGTTAAAAATTAAACCTACATTCTTTTCCGAATTTAAACCATTTAGTTAAAGAATCAACATGCCCAGTATAACCTATTATTTTCTAAATTAACATTATATTGTTTAAATAATAAACAGAAAAATAAAATTAAAAATA